CCACAGTTTCAACTCTTTTTGTATTCTGTTTGATCTTGAATGAAATTTTTTGCATCTTCAACACACTGGTTTTTTGTGAATTCTCAATTGATTAGAAAACATTTAGATAAAAATATGATTTTATCAATTTTTTTATTCAAAGATATAAATTTTTTGAATTTTTAAATAAGATAGTAAATTTTCCCTTTTTAAATTTTTTGAATTTTTAAATTTTAAAAAAAAAACTAACCTCTACTGAATATGTTAGTAAATTATATATCTCAGTATCTCATGAGATTATCTAAAATTTCCTTTATTCCTGAAGTATATAATAGTAAATTTTTACTTTTTTAATTTAAATACATGAATATTATCCTATTTTGATTAAGATTATCATTTGTTATGCTATCATCATTCTTTAATAAATTTTTTTAAAAAAATTATAAAATTTTATATTATCATTTAAAAAGAAGAAGAAATTTATTATTTAATTTAAAAATCTAAAAAGTTTATATTTTTAAATAGATTAATAGCAAAGTTGTCATATTTATTTATTTATTATCTTCTCAAATTATGAGATTTTCATATTTTATTATTTAAAAATTATTAATTTGTAAATTCCATAATTCCCTTCTGCAGGTTCCACGTTGGGTTGGGGAGGCAGTAAAAAGTCCAGGCTAAGGCAAAAACATTTGTGTGAGAGATGATGTGACAAGGATGGGGCTCACAAGAAAGGGTGGGAAAAAAAAATAACCGGTGTGATCGTTACACTTAACTGTCAATAAACAGCACCGTTAGTTACAGTGGATGGAGGGACGACATTGGGGTGTTTCTGCATTGTACAGGGATGACAAGTGGAGTTAATCAATAGTAGAGGTACGACATGAAGCCAATCCATAGTAAAAGGTTTAGAATGCACTATTTTTAATAGTAGAGGGACAATAGATGGCCTTAATCCTTAAATTAAATAATATAATTTTTAATTTTTTAATATTATAAAATAGTTATTTACAAGTAGCTTACAAGCTTAACATGCAGGTTCGAATTTAAACTTGATTACTCGTTAAGCTTAAAATTAAGTTCAAGCTCAATTCATTTAATAAATAGATTGAGCTTAAGCGAAGTTTAAATCAAATTGTTTAGTTCATTTACAGTATTATTTCTTAATGGAAGTTTAATGGCCCCCGTTAATCTTTTCTGTCAAAAAAAGGGGATTGCTTTTGCAACTGGTGAGCTACAAGAGTTTCATTTTTTGCCCTTTCTTAGTTCAGTGACTTAATTTTTGGCCTAATAATAAGTTCAAGGGTGTAAAACTAATCCGGAAGTGAGTTTAAGAATTAAGAGCTTAAATAATAATTATCCCCACGAAGGGATTGAAAACTTCCACTTCTTTATTTGGAAGATAGTGGTTCAACTATTAATTCAAACAGTATATCAATAATGGTTACTTTTTTAATTTTTTATTTTTATATTTTAAAATAATTGTTATTTTTAAATTTTTTAAATTAAACATTTTAAAAAAATTATATTTATTTATAATACATTTAAAAAATAAAAGATAAAAATTTTATAATTAAATAACTAATTAAAAAATAACAATAAAATTAAAATATTTATCTATTTAAAAAATAATTAATTTAAAATAAATTTAAAATAAAAAATAACAATTATTTAAGTAACTAGGAAGAAAGTACTTGTCAAGCATCTTTCAGGGACAATAGGACATACACAATTTCTGATTAATAATTCAAATAGTCTCGCAATAATTGTTACCATTCCGGTGTTTGGCTAAAATAATGCATAAAATTATCCATTGCCGTTTAGCGCAATTTCCGGTGATGCTTTCCCGCCAGTTAGTGTCAATCCTGCCAAATTATCCGATGAATTATACTCCGCTAGTCTTAACCAGGGTAAGGAATGAAAAGTCAATCAGTCAACTTTACTCTTTCCTTTTTCTTTTCTTTTTTTTTTTTTAATCTCGCTAAAAAGAAATTTGATTTTTTTGATAATTTTATAAATATTTTAATATTTTTAAAATATTTTAATAGATAATAGTTTTTAATTGAATAATGACAATTAATATAATTTTTATAAAATTTTTATCAAATATATTTTACTCATTTTATTATCTTTTTCTATTTATATGAAAGATTTTTTGTCTTTATTCTTATAAGATTACTGTTGTAGTAGTTATTTTTTTATTTTATATATTTGTGTGAAAATATTTTTTAACTTAATCATAAGATTAATTGCATTTTAAATAAAAGAAATTAAGTTTGATAAAACGATTTAAGTTTTACAAATTTTTGTCACCGGGTATTTTCCTTTCTCTTTCTCCTCCTTTTTTATCTCTCTAAAAATAAGTTTAACTTTGTGTTAATTTTATAAATATTTTGATTTTTGGAGGTATTTTGGTAAGTAAAGTTTTAAGTTGAATGGCAATTATTGTAATTTTTAAAGAAAATTTATTTATTTTATAAATACATTTTACTTAATTTATATATATTTCTATTTATATGGAATTTTTTCATCTTTATTCTTTTGAAGTTATTTTGTAGTAGTTATTTTTACTTTATATATTTATGTGAAAATATTTTTTTAATTTAATTTTTTTTTTTGCACAGCAAAGGTAATTTATTAAGATTAGTGCGGAAGTACAAGTGGTACTCCACCTATATCATTACACAAGAACAGAGAAGAAATAGCCTACACTTGTTACTCCTATCTTTCAAACTATTCTTCTCCCAGGCTTACTCTTGAACATCCGTAAGACAAGCTATAGGATTACACAACCAATCTGAAAGATAAAAATGACAACTAGCTAGTCTAGATTTAATCTAAAAAAAGGATCTTAATTGAATTAATTCCAGCAACTTACCCATGTTTGTTTCCTGGGCTTGAAATATCTTTCTATTCCGCAAAAGCCATATTGACCAGATCACTGCATTCTAGATGCACTCCCATCCATTTTTGAGACGTTTATCATTGGTCCATGAAGCAAGGTGGTCGAAAGTTTTCCATCAATCCATCTCCATCCTTATAGAAATCCCCCACCATTTAGCACACTCCTTCCAAATCCATTCCACTACTTTACATCTCAAAAATAGGTGGGCAGTGTCTTCTTCTTCCTCATCGCATAGCCTGCACTTAATATCATCCATAACATTGTCTATTCCCCTTTTCAGCAAGTTCTTTTTGGATGGTATTTTGTCAAGCACAACTCGCCAATTAAATGCTGCAATTTTGCTTAGTATATTGTGATTCCAAATTCTTTTAAAGTATTTTATTTCATTTGGTATCTGCTGGACATTTGACAACAGTGAGTAGGCTAATGAAGATGAGTACTTACCGTCCCTCTTGTGAACCCACTCCCATTTGTCTGTGAGTCTTGGTTGTATTTTCACCTCATCGATCTTTTTGGATAGCTCATAAGTCGATTCTTCTTCCCATTCCATCAGTCTTCTTCTCCACGTTAGGTTTTATTCCCATGTTCCATTATGCTCCTTACCCATTTGATAGCATTTTTTCTCATTATCTATTGATAACAAATATAATCTAGGAAACAAATTAGAAAGACAGCACCCCCCCGCACCGCTTATCCCACCAGAAGCTCACATCTTTACCTTCCCCCATTTTTAGCCTAAACCCCTTCGCTAACCACCCAACATTGTCCTTATCAGCATTGTTAATCCTTTGGACATCTCTCCACCATAAAGGGCCCACATCATTTCCATTTCTCACCCAGTTCTGCCAATGACCCCCTTCCACTCCATATTTTCCTCTAATAACTCTTTTCCATAACCCCTCTTGTTCTATTGCTAATCGACCCCACCATTTTCCCATTAGTGCTAAATTGAACTTCTTCAAATCTTTCACACCCAGCCCCCCATACTCCTTATCCTTGCAAATCATTTCCCACTTTACCCAACTAATTTTTCTCTCCTCTCCCTCCCCACCCCATAAAAAACTTCTACGAATTTTATCAATTGAATTGAGTGTACCTTTTAGGATCAAGTAAACGGACATCAAGAACACGGGAAGGCTTGACAACACTGAGTTAATGAGCATAATTTGACCACCTTGAGAGAGATGTCGCCCTGTCCAACTCGACAGTTTCTTCCTAACAGAATCAAGCAATGGCTGCCACATCTTAAGCCTTCTATGGTTCCCCCCAATGGGAATCCCCAGGTATTTGATCGGGAATTTCCCTTATTTACAGCATAGTCTATAGGCCATTTTGTTTCTCCAATCGTCCTCCACCTCGATGCCCATTAGCTGGCATTTTTCGAAGTTGATTTTCAGTCTCGCCGGCATTTCAAATGTCTTCAAAATGCACTTAATTATCCTTATATTTTGCTCTAATGCCTCCCCAAAGAATATGGTGTCATCCGCAAATTGCAAGTGGGTAACTGCTACTGCTTCGTTTTCGACTTCCACACCCTTATAAAGCTCCTTGTCTATAGCTACTGTCATCAATCCATTTAGACCCTCTGGCCATGATCAGGAATAAAAAGGGGGATAAAGGGTCGCCTTGTCGAATGCCTTTTGTGATCGGGAATTTTCGTGTTGGACTTCCATTGATTAGAATTAAGACCATGCTCGATTTCAAACACTCTTGGATCCACCTCCTCCAAGTAACACTAAAGGCCATTCGGTCCAGCATATAATCAATAAAATTCCAGCACACCTTATCGTGTGCTTTCTCGAAATCAACTTTGAACACAAAGCTTTTCTTCCTCCTCCTCTTCGCCTCATCAGTTACTTCGTTTGCAATGACAACTCTATCCACCAATTGTCTACCCTTAATAATTGCCATTTGTTGTTCCCCAATAATCTTATGCAGCCCTTTGCAGAGGCGGTTTGCTAGTAATTTTGCAACCACCTTATACATGACATCAATGAGGGATATGGGTTTATATTCTTCTATTTTTTGAGGATTCTCAGTTTTTGGGATCAACACGATAAATGAGGCATTAGACCCTCTTACTAATCTGCCATGTTCCTGGAATTCCTTTAAGAATCCAACCACCTCAGTTTTAATGTCATCCCACATGGACTTCATGAATCTGAAATTGAAGCCGTCCGGACTTGGGGCTTTAGAAGAGTCACACTCCCAAATGACTTTTCTAATTTCCTCTTCAGTGAAAGGTGCTGTGAGGAGCTCATTATTTGCTTGAGATATATGTTTAAAATCAATTCCATCAAGTTTGGGTCTCTGCTATACATCTTCTATGAAGAGTTTTTGGAAATAATCTGCCACCCCTTCCTTTATTTCTGCCACTCCTATGAGTTACTTCCCATTAATCAGAATGCTACAAATTTCATTTCTTCTTTTTCTTCCATTTGCACTTCTATGGAAGAACTTGGTATTTGCATACCCTTCTTTGAGCCACATTTTCCTTGATTTTTGTTGCCATGTACTCTCCTTAATTTTTAAGTTATTCCATAGATCAATAAAGCAGCATCTCCTTCTTTCAATGTCTGTGTGAGTCAACTGATTATTCTCTCCTTTCTTATCCAACTCCTCAATCTCTTTTTCAGCCTTAATAATTTTCATGTCAATAGTTGTCATTGAGTTTCCGCTCTACATCTTGAGAGCATTCTTGGTGCATTTCAGCTTTTCCTTCGATCTGAATCCATACCCACCATTCACTTCACAGGATTTCCAGGCATTTCTGATAAGCTCTATGCATCCTGGTTGTTCCATCCAAGCATTAAAGAATTTGAAGGGTTTCGGCCCCCAATCAACCTTCTCATTCTTCAGTAAAATAGGGTAATGATCAGACACTGTTCTTCTTAGACCCAATTGTTTTACATCATTCCATTTCAATACCCATTCATTTGAAAGCAAAAATCTGTCAATTCTACTCATATGTAACCCATTTGAGTTATACCAAGTAAACTCCCTTCCAACCAATGGTAAATCTATCAATTCAGCATCATGAATGAAACAATTGAATTCCCTCATTTCTCTAGATATTTCTCTACATCCATGTTGTTCCCTTATCGTTCTAATGGCATTAAAAACCCCTCCCAAGCACCATCTTCCTCTCCTATTAAAGATCAAACACTGCAGCTCCTCCCAAAGACCTCTTTTGCCAGCTAGAGTACATGGGGAATAGATGTTTAAAATATATACTGGCGTCTCTTCCTCCCCCCAAACCCCATATACCCCAATAAAATTATTACCCTCCAAAATCTCACGTTTCTTAAACACCTTTGAGTTCCACACACAAAGCAAGCCTCCTAACATACCATTTGATGGTTTAAAAATTCAATCAAAATCCATCGACCCCCAAATCCTACTGCATATATATCTATCAATCATCTCCATTTTAGTCTCCTGCACTAATAAAAACTCCACCTTCTCTTTCCTAACCATCTCCTTAATTTGTCTTCTCTTTTCGACCCCCCCCCCAAAATTCTCTTACATTAAATGACAAAAAAATCATTGTTAATTGCACATACCTCCTCCAACGCCTCGGTTTCTTTCTTTTCTCGAGTAGCTTTTGCCAAATTCTCTCTACACTCCAAGTCGTCTATTCTTTGTATGATTTCTTCCTCATTTTCGGCCATTGCTCCTAGCTACTTCGCTAGTTCCCATATTTCCTTAGCCAACTCTTTCTTCATCTGCTTCCTGATGGATCTGTTGCAATTTTGAATACAGTTGTCTCCGATAGATTCACCATCTACTTCACCATTTGGGCTTGCCACAAATACCGGTTGTACTCTGTTCTCCGAAGTGCCTCAACTTGTTCTTCTTCGACCTCTTCGTCTTTGCCAATGTTGTCGCGCGAGTCCCTCTTCTGAGTAAACTGAACTACATGCTCTAATTCGCCTCTTGTTCTTCTTTGGGATCCCTTCGGCATTTCCTTTGATCCATTATGCTAGTCTATCTTCTTCCTTCTCAAACCCTTTCTAGAAGGGGTCACGCACCCATTATTGGTGTTCACCGACTTTGTTTCCATTTGACTGCCTGTAGCTTCTTTATCAAAAGTATATTGGGCCTTCTTCAAAGTCTTATTTTGGGCCTGCTCCAAATTAGTAGACACCTCCCTTATTGGTATTTTTTCCATCATATTGGACTCCTCATTTGACATCCAATTACTGTGTTCATTTAAGCCCAAATGGAAATCCTCCTTATTCATGAGCCCAACTAATGCATCAAACCTCCCTCTCTTCCCCCCTTAAAGCTCCCCCTCTGTTTTGAATTTTCCTTCAATCTCAGTTTGAATTTTTTACAGGCTGTCAGCAACCCCTTTAACTGTCATCTCGCTTCTCCTCATGGCTTGTGCTATAGGTTTACCGTTGCTCACCTCCCTGTAGCTTGCCACGTCATCATCATCAACCTCAGCTTCCTTGAGTCTTCCATTGCCACCCCGTGATTCTTCTGCATCGTCACAACCCAAATCCCTTTCCTCACTTTCCATCATCCATGATTCCTATTCCTCTGAATCACTCTGGAAGGTAGGCAAGAAATCCTGTTTCAAGGAGAAGAAGCTAGTGGTAAACTCCTCCTCTATGAACTTAATGTCGTAAATGGACCCATTAATCCTAATAGATCTCCTGACAAAAATTGATTCCATAATCGGAGTGGATATTAAGAATCGAGCAATGTCGAATCTCTTTTTTTGATTGGTGCTATCATCTAAGCAGATAAACTTTCCCCATGCGCAGCTCATATCGGCAAAGAATTCGGATTTCTAGATGTTTAGAGGAACTCCTTGGCACCTGATCCATACAAATCTTTCTGATGCAACCTTCTCTAGTGTCCATGGGCACACTTCTTCAAACCACTGCCCTAACCAATCTGATGCCATCTCCACTAGGTCTTTCAATTCCTCTTTATCTTCATAGTCTAGCAGCACCAATTTACCCCCCATTGCTCGGATTCTACAAGAAAAATAGCCTTCCATATAGAACTTCTCTTGTAGATTTCAAACCATTTCAACGGAATGGACCTTCCCCACATAGCATCCATCCAACCATGTATAGTCTTCTGCATTTACATTGTACTCCATGCTGGGCCAGTGTTCCCCCTGTCCTTTTTCCTTCCAGATTAAAGTTCTTTCTCTGTTTCGAAAGTCAGTTCTTGTTCTGCTTCTTCTATTATCCCTCCCGTGGCTCATATTTAAACTGTCTTTCAGTGTTGTGCTTACATCCCCTCCTAGTCCATTTCCATATTGTCCCTTCACCACATCTACATACGTCCTATTTTGTATCTTTGGCTCCATTATTTGTATCTTTATGGGCTCCTCTACCTTGTTCTGCTCTTCATTTCTAAACCGTGGGGTATTCACCCATAGCTTGTATTTCCCAACCCATATCTGGTCTAGTCTCCTTTCCAGCTCCTTTATGTCCTTCACACCCAAAAATCTCACAAATCCGAATCTACGTCCCTTTTTACTTCTTCTACTTGGGCTGTAGATGTCGAATACCCTTCCAAATTTGTAGAAAGTCGTCCACATCTCTGCATAGCTCCACTCCTCCAGGAAGTTGGTGAAAAAGTATGGCGTTGCTTGTTTATACAAGCCTTTGTTATATGTTTCCCCAGTACTGGACTTCCACCCTCGCATTCTTCTTTATTCCGCTGGTAGATATCTCCTCTGTTGGCTTCTCCCTCGTGATCTCCCATGTTCATAACTCAATGTTGCTCGTGCTGTCCGTGTTCGACATTCGTCTGCTCTTCCTCTGGCTCTACCTCTCTCTCTCATCTCTCTTCCCAAATGTCTTGGGTTCATAGTAAAACTTCAATTTTCTTTCCTAGATGATGCGGGAATTCAGCCCTTAATTTGAACCTACTAATCATATTTTGGGAACTATAATTTTTTTAATTTAATTTTAAAATTAATTACATTTTAAATCAAATAAATTAAATTTAATAGAACTATTTTAGTTTACAAATTTTTATTACAGACTGTTACAGTATCTCTTAAATATATTAAAATGTTCATTATATAATTACTTAATAACATATTTTTAATATATATTTTATGTTGTTGTCTATTTTTAATAATAATTTTTCTTTCTTTTAAAAGATAAATATATCTTAACAACACAGAAGTGGATTTGATAATGCTAGTACTAGTAAATACTAAAAGGGTTTTATAAAAAATGAAAGTATGTTCAACGCATGTTCTAAGAGACACAAATTAATGAGATATTTATTGTATATAT